GCACCCTCAGGGAGCCCATTGGCCCTGGATCAGTTAAGAGTGAAAGAGAATAACAGAGAGGCCGGGTGTGGTGGCGCACGCCTATAATCCCAGCACTCGGGAGGCTGAGGCAGGAGGATTGTTGCAAGTTCGAGACCGGCTTGGGCTACAAAGCGAGCTCAAGTCCAGCCTGAACTGCAGAGTGAGACTCTGTCTCAAAAAGACAAAAAAAAAAAAGACCAGAGACAACACGATGAGCAGCGACACAGGCCTAACTTTCACTTGAAAGGCAACCACTTAGTGGCTGCATTTCCAGTTTCCCAAGAATACCAATATTTCATTCCTAAAGAAAAAAAATCATAGATGAGAAGAGAACTTGTTACCACATTTAGCCAAAACACTTTAAATAACAGATTTTAAATGATATCAACCACCAATTTCATCTGGGAAATTTTCTCTCTAGTTCTCCTGGTCAAGGTGTTAAGTTCTTTATCAATAAGAAAATCCAAGGGATTTTATTTCAAGGCATCTGACATTTAGGGGTTTAATAAATGTTTACGAGCAGTTTGGAGTTCTCCTCTCAACTTTTAATTTCCTATGTTTGCACGTCCCCATTACCACACTGACTTTATCAGTACAAGTCTTCCTCGCTGAAGGACAAGAAGATCTGATTTGCCATTTTCATGTAGTTGATGTAATTATAAAGGAAGCAAATACCACTGTTCAATGGAATACAAAGATTCAGGTGCTATTTGTCACAAGTGACTTCCCTTTTTTTTTGGTTTTTGGAGAGAGGATCTTGCTATGTAGCCCAGGCTAGCCTCAAACTCATAGTGATCCTCCTGCCTCAGCCTCCCGAGTGCTGGGATTACAGGTATGCACCACCATGCCCAGCAAAAATTATACTTAGAAAGGGCTAAGAGGCCATCGTGGCAGTGGCGTTCCTTGTGACAGCCCACCCTGTATCCTCCAGGGTGTACTTTTATTTTGCTTTTTCCTCTTTTACTCGGCCCAAGCTCACTCTGCACAGCCAGTTTCTCCTTCACTCTTCACTTCTACTTTTTCAAATAAACTTTGTTGCTAAGAAAGAAAGAAAGAAAGAAAGAAAGAAAGAAAGAAAGAAAGAAAGAAAGAAAGAAAAGGGGCTGGGGGTTTAGCTCAGCGGCACAGCGCCTGCCCGGCAAGTGCAAGGTCATGAGTTCAATTCCTGGTACAGGAAAAAAAAAAAAAAAAACAAAAAAAGAAAGAAAGAAAGAAAGGAAGGAAGGGGGAAGGGAGAGGGAGAGAGGAAGGAAGGAAAGGAAGGAGGCAAGAATACATCAGAGGAGAGCAGACAGATCATCTAGGTTTCTACGATTTCATGAAATGCTATCTTGCTTTTCCTTTCTTCAAGTATCTTTATGAAGAAGGGAAGAAACAGCGAAGGGGGAGTTCATGCTGCCCGAGGAGCAGGCGTCCCCTTCCTCTGGGCTTCTCCTGGGAGCCCGTGCATTCTCCCATTACCTCTCTGCCAGGACTTCCAGCGGGCTGGCTCCTAGGGACCAACTTCGTACCATCCAGGCAGAGTCCATAGCAGCTAGGAAGCCCCGGGCTATTCCCGTTCCCATTGGCCAGAAAGGCTGTGAACAAGACATAAAACAGAGCTGACAACAATCATCTTTTAAAAGAGGGAGGCGAGAGCACCAAGAAAGAATTTGCTAATGACAGTTGAATCTGACTACTGTTCGGACACTGGACTTCTGTATTCCCCAAGCTGGGAGGGGGCAACTCCCCACCGCTGCAGGATTCCCACTAACACGCATGGCGTCCCAGGGCCTGCGATCCTTCCCCGCCCTGCTGGCGTGAACCTGGCAAGGAGCTGCCCAGGCTACAGACGCTCACTTCACAACCCGGGCTACCTGGCTGTGACCCTCACTACTGGCCCACCCATCAAGCACCGCTGCCCTGTACTCACCTCTAGGAGGCTGTCCCCAACCAGGGCCACCAGTAACTGGTGCCCGTTCTGCTCCCGCACCAAGGCCGCGTTCTCAGAAGCGTACATGCATGTGAAGTCAAACATGGCCACGTCGGGCTGCCCATAGTGGTTGATGGCGAAGTCCAGAGAGGGCAGCTGCTGCTGGGTGGAGAAGTCTGCTGCCTCCCGGGCATAGTTCAGCAGGGCCTCCTGGTCCACATTCTCCCGGGACAGCAGGAGTTCGGTGTCGGCATAGTCCTGGCCAGAGAGAGAAGAGGCACAGGATGGAACAGCTTGGGCGGGGACAGACCGGCGAGGCCCGGCAGGACCACGTGACGTGTGGCAGGTGTACTCTAGTTTTCACTCTAGTTTCACGGCTTTCTCATTCCAGAAAACGAACCTTTTACACGGATTAAAAAGAAAAACCGCGGGGCTGTTTTTACATAGAGTTGGCTGCCTAAAATCAGTCCTAGCCTTGCATGTATTTGGAGCAAGTCACTGCTCCTAGATCGTGGCCAAATTACTTCACAGTTGTCGCCAATATCAAATAAAATCATGCCTGTGCTGGTGTTCTACAAACTGAAAGAACATTTTATGGTTTATACGTACTAACTCCACACTCATTATCTTTTGGGGAGTGGGTAGCTTTTGGCTGCTGGGACCATGTAAAATAGCCTTGGATGGCTCATCACACACCCCAAGGAAGAATGTGAAAACCAGTGCCATAAGGATACAGAAATGGGAGCAACAGCGGCCAAGAAAGATGTGGAGGAATACACTGAAAATGAGCGGTGGTTTTCAAAATCATATAAAAGAGTCTGCAAGGCTACACAGAGCTCATCAATAAAGAAAACAAAGGGGCGAGAAAAAAGGCTTTTACTAAGCATAGCAGTACATGCCTATAATCCTAGCAGGAGGCTGAGGCAGGAAGAACGCCACAAGTTCAAGCCCAACCTGAACTACACAGTGAAGCCCCGTCTCAAAAAAACCCAAAAACAAAAAAACAAAAAAGAGCTTTCCACGCACGGACTGCAAAACTCCTTTTCTGGTTTGCGGGTTCCCACACGCTGAGCTAAGCCTTTGTTCTCCCAAGTGGGGCCTGCAGCTCCAAGTGCCGCTCACGGTCCTTTCAGCTACAAGTACAAGGTGTCAAAAGCTAAGACACAAACACTCATGTTGGTGCTGGAGACTGTTTGCTCAACGTTAAGTGGCCACCGTGGTTTTAGAATTCAGCTGTACACACAGAAGGCACTGCCCCTGCCCTCTACGAAAATAAACTCAGAGTGAAAGTAAAGAGCGATAAACTCGGTAAATTTTGGCATTCTAAATTGCTCTTATCTAATTTTGGTGGATAAACCACAGCTCGGCCAAGACGGCAGATCTGAGTCTTAACTTGGGCGTCAGGCACCCCAAGCGCTTCCCTGGCCAGATCTCACTGACGGCGATGTAGCAGCAGCAGATAATGAACAAGCCCACTTTATGAAGCAGTGAGCCAAGTACATCTAGCTTTTGTTTTCGCGAAATGGGCTAAACAAATCGCTTTGTCCTGCTGCTCCCGTCATCCACAGGACCACTGTGCTGAGGGAGACGCGGGGTGCAGGGGTGGGAGGGAGCCTTGTGCTGTGAGCACGTGCTCCTCGGCTTGCTCCCCGCTCTGCTCTCAGAGAAGGCCACAGTGTGACTCGGGCGAAAGGGGCTCAGACTGAAAGATGATTCATTATCGTCCTGCAAACAAAGGACTCCCTGAGCCTCAGTGCATCTGATGGTTCTCTCTGTCTCATCACATGGGGACAGCAATTCTCATGCTCAGACCAATGCGACTGGAGCCCCTCTCCTAAGGGAGCCCCCCTCCCCCCGATTCTCTGACTTGAGAAAATCAGCTCAGGGCAGACCATACAGCTCAGTACCCACACATGGCTGGGACGAACCTGCCTTGTGGTTGAGTCAGAAAGATCCCTGGACCTCTGACAACAAAATCCACAGTAAATCTAGAGCCACCGTCAGCCTGTTATAAATAGCAACTGTTGTCTCTTGCTCAAATTCTCTTCTCTTTGTCACCCCTCCCAATAAAGAGGATCCACTCACCAATTAGTAATTGTATTTTTTGGGGGGGGATACCGGGAATCGAACTCGGGACCTCGTGCTTGCCAGGCAGGTGCTTATGCCACTGAGCCATATCCCCACCCCACCATTACACTGACTCTATGTATGAAATACCTGTGTCTTGCTTTGAAACAATCTAACAGTAGGAGAGGGGAGTGGGTTAGGGTTATATTGAAACAATATTGATCGCGCTGGTAACTGTTAAAGCTGGACGATGGCACACAAGCCCACTATACTTCTCTCCACTTCTTTTTCTATTTGCAACTATAATAATAATTATATAATGATACATTTGCTCAAACATAACGTTTTCCAAAACTATACTACATAAAATTCAAAGTGTCCAGGTGTACTCAGTGCTCACTTTCACCCCCTTGCAGGAAAAACCCATCAGATAATAAAACCCTTTCTCTTGGTGATCACATTAACCCGTTCAACAAATAAGTGGCTTGAAAGAAATCCATTGCTCACATGCAGTATCACCCCTTTCTCCAGTAAACTCTGCTTTTTGGCTGTCATAACGAAATAGTGTGTGTCATCTTTGTAGTAAACGATGTTCTCCAAGTCAATACCTGTGAACAGAAAACAAATGTGTATGTAAGGAGTTTGCAGACATTCAGGAATCAGGGCAGGCAGAAGATTGTTCTTGGGTCTACAGAGAAAGGGTTGGAAAACTCCAGCCAGGAAAGATGTCTAGGCTTAGATTCTAATTTCTTGTGTATTTAGTTCCTGAAAACAAGAGGAGCTTTGTTTCTCTTTGTTCTGCTCTGTAATTCACACAATGCCCTAAGTTATCCAGAAATGGGTAATCAAAAGTAAACAAAAATATAATGATGGGAAAAACAAAACAAAAGCAAGGCTAACCTCTGCAAGAGGATGAGTTAACGGGTTAAAGCTATGCAACAGTCACCAAGAAAGCTAGAGAACTTGCCCACATGCTTAAGAACAGGATGGAATAATAGAAAGAAGTCAAGCTCTAGAAAACAGAATGAAGATACATTTTCTGATGCATCCCTAAATATCTAAACTACTTAAAAGCAACCACAAACAATCTCCCCGCACCTTCTTTGGAGGGCTGGGGATCAGGCACAGGGCCTTACACGTGTTAGCCAAGCACTCTGCAAAGGAGCCACACTCCTGGTCCCATACAATGTCTCATTTCCACCTGCACACAGTTTACTTTTGAGCTCAAACTGGAATTCAGGAAGACTACATACTTAATACCTGAAGTCAGGTACCCAATAAAATGAGAGGGCCACCGACAAGCAGTTTGCTGCACCCAGCACCATAACAGTGTCGGGATAAGGGGCTGGAGATGAGTTTGTAGAAGACAGAACGAACATTTAAAAACAAGTAAGCAGCCGGGTATATAGCTCAGCAGCACAAGCACCTGCCTGGCAAGCGCAAGGTCCTGAGTTTGATTCTCGGTACCAAAAAAATAACATAAAATAAAAACAAGTAAGTAAAAGAAACCCTAGAGCACCCAGTCAGTGCACGGAGCCCTTAGAATACTAGAACAAGAGGTGAAGGATGGGGGTACGTCATGCTAGGAACACAACTTTAGAGTTAAGACAGAACAGGGCAGATAAGCCTGCAGTATCCCAACACCTCCCACCCCACCCAGCTCTCAGGAGCAAAGCAGCAAGTGGCTACTTCAGAGCCTGTCCTCAGCGCTTCCGAGGCTTCGACACCCACCTGTGGCTTCTCGCAATTCCTGGAAAAACTTTTGGTTGAATATAAAGGCCACACCACTGATCTCTTCCACTTTGGCTTCTGCAGTTGTATTTCGATTAATAAAATTTGCTGTAATGGCAATAGCTAGTTTGCCACGGAATTCTTTTCGACGAAAACCTGGAAGGAGAGAATGATCAGAGGTGGCAACAATGAGCTGGAGGAGGAGGAAGAGGAGGAGGATGGTTTCCTGTGAGGGAGCTGTTGACAAAGACACTAGGGGAAGTGGGGGATGTGACCCCGTGGAGGAATTTTAGGGTAGTTCTCCATCTGAAAATAAGCGGCTTCCCCACCAAAAAATGTCATTCAGCAATGAAGTAAAAATCCCCCACGTCATTAACAAACCGTTTGAGATCTGACTGACCAGAATATTACTCAGCACTGGAGAGTCCATTTAAAAAGGGAGGAAAGGGTTGAGTCAGCTTGTTGACACATAGGTTAGATCCTGCAGTCCCAAGCCTTCAGAGTACAGCTCATCTCCTAGGGCGCTAACAAGAGCGACAGTGTCTGGAGGAAGGCTGGATGCCATGCAGGTACAACAGGTAGACAGGCGCACATTTGTAGGGGTATGGACTCTGGAGACAGGGTCAGTATCCATCTGCTAAGGTACCAGGCAACGGAGCACAAACTAGTACCTTCCAAGGTGTTCCTACGGCCATCTCCACCGATGATTACTTCAAATTCAAACTCGGACACGGGATGCGTTTTGGGGTGTACCAGCGCTCGCCAACCTATCCCTGTAAGCCAATGGCAAAATGAAGGTCATCGCCAGACCAAATTCACACCTCTAAGCACCATCTCCAATCCTCAGGCATACGGACTGCACCAAATCCCAAGCCCAAAACGGTCAGCCAGACAGTAAGGAGGCTTGCAGAGGGCTCACACCTTTTCCACCTTCCGGTTCTCTATAATACAAATGCCTGCAGAGTCTACTACGTCAAAGGGCTCCTCGTCAAGGCAAAAGTCCTCACGAGCACAGGCTTTGTGACCAAAAAGCACCTTGAACTCACTCACAAAACCGTTTGCAGTCCTGCTTGTGTTCTCTCTTGTGCTTATCTACAGTCACCCATCCAGTGCCCTTTCGCGCCTTTCCCGTTTGTCTAACCCAACTTACGTTCGTTCTCTTGGTCCTCGGGAGGCTGTACCAGTCCTTGGAATTCCACATTGACGTGGATCTCAATGCCCAAGATCAAGGCTACTTTCAAAAGTATTAGCTGGAGCTGACGGATACCTAGGTGAATACAAACACAGGTCTGGCAAGGGTGTATGGAGCAGACATACCTGCCAGTGCTCACTCCTTAGGCTCCCACCCATCTACCTGTCCACAGTCCACTGCAGTTCTCAGAGCCATGTGTATGGGCTGGGCTGTAACTCAGTGGTAGAGCTCTTGCCTCCCATGCACTAGGTCCTGGGCTTGATCTCCAGCCCTGGATAACAAAGGGTGGGGGCCCAGAAGTAAACCTACACATCAAAGTCTTTTGTAGCAGAGAACATTTTCCAAGTCATGGTCTAACTACTTCTTTTCCAGGGTAAATGTAAACCAGTGGAAGAGATGGTCTAGACTCATGTAAGTACACCCTCATCTCTTGAGTGGGATACTCTAAACCCAAAATTCAGGGACACATGGGACTCTGGCCAAAGGAAACTCCCTTCCATCTTTCCAATCCAGTAAGAGCTACCACTACTAGCAGTAGCTACAGCGCTGACAGGACGTAGTCCCTGCTGCAAGGCATGGGGAGGCAGCCTGTGGGCACGTGTTCCACGGCTCCACGCAATGCTGCCGCGCTGCTTCCACCCTGTCACCTCATGAATGAAAGTCAGCTACAATATCCCTATCCGCACATGCCCTTACCAAGTGAGCAAGGGAAATCACAGTCCTACCATTCCTCCTGCCACTTCGCTACTGTGGAAACTCAGACCCAAAGTGATTAAGGATCTCACTATCATAGTGAGATTTACATATTCAGCCAACGTCTGGTGAGTCCCTACCTGGTGCCAGACCGGGAAGCAAACCTATACACAGAGATAGAAGTCTAGTCCTTGGTCTAAGACCTTCTCAGTCCCAAAATAAATTCTGCCACACATAAGGGAGATAAACAGTATGAATTAATGACCCTCGATCTTCTGTTAAGGTCAAACGTACCTGCTATTTACCACAACTAATCTGCCAGGAGCTCATGCACATGCCGGCCTGCCTTCCCGGTTATTTTCCTCAGCTTACCACAACCCCCACCCTTCTGAGTCACACTCGCAAAGACTCATTAAGTTGTGTGCTAGCACACATTTTATTTCTGCAACAACTGTGGCTTCCAAGATGCTTTAAAATTATAGCCCGGCAGATGGGCAGAGCACTTCCTCTGCCAGTGGAATGTGGCAGCTGTCAGCCAGTGCTTAATAAATGGGCACAACCACTTCACAGGGCAAAAGGCCCAGTGGCTGAATGTATTTACAGGACACATCTGTAAATACACATCTGAGGAGCTCAGAACAAAGCTTCCTTGATGAAACTGCCCTGGAATCATTAGTGACAATCAATTCAAAAAAGAAGTAGAAAAGACGTCACAATACAGACATTGATCTAAATTGATTCTCAGACAGGCCACTTACAGCCACGAAGATGAAATCCCCGCCTGCATTAACTTGCACTCACCTATCTCAGAAAGATACTGGCCCCAGTCGAGCTTGGAAATGGCACGGAAACAGCCAGAGCTGTGCTGGCTGCAGACTGCACGAGAGTCACCTAACCAGACGCATCCTGCCGTTGACTTGCCACTCATGACCAAGCTAGGGCTCTGCTTCTGCTGTATGCATGGTTTGCTCAGGGCTGCATCCCCATAGCACTTCGCTCCCACACCAACTGAGCACATGCAGGGTCATACTGCAGAGAGCCACAGCCTGTGCACTTCTGCTGGACGTTTCCCAAAGCCTGGTCCCCGGGCTACCCACACTCTGAGTCCTCAGAGTCCCCAGCCCAACTCAGACATCCCGAAGCCAGACTCCCAGCACAGGGCACACGCTTGTAGTTCAGAGTCCTAGCTTACAGAAGCCCTGGCGGTGGGTATTTCGACTCCATGCAGAGGGTGAGTGCTACACGGTAGATACCAATGAGATCAGAACAAACTGGGCTGTTAAACAGGAATTCTTCACATAACTGACCCGTGTCTTGTCTACTGCATGAGCATGCAGGGGTGGAACATACAGGAAGGCTGATGGTACTCACTGATATGGTCAATAGCTCCGGCACAGAACTTGCCATAGAACTTTTTGGCACCCAGACCTCGAAGATCGTGTATGGTGAAGGGCCAGAGATGCAGGACATTGTTGCGGGAAAAGGCATCTCGCTTCTCGATAACGACGACCTTGGCTCCCAATAAAGACAAGTCGATGGCTGTTCGGAGACCACAGGGCCCAGCCCCGATGATGAGACACTGAAAAACACAGCTGCTCTCAGGGCAAACGCCATACTTCTCAAAGCACATTTCTAGAGAGGAGTTATGACCTCATAACTATCAATCTCAACAGCTGCCAACCAGGGCAGTTCTCCCCACTCCCATGGAAAGTTCAAACTGCGTTGGTCCCAGCAGAGCACCTTCAATAACTTGAAAGAAGAGCTCATGGTAGCTGTGGGTGGAGAAGACTGAACTGGCAGAGCTATAGGTACGCCTAACACATGTCTGCCTTGGACAGCTTATACGATCCATAGATCTGCAACATACTTAAATGGGTCACCATCCCAACAAATGACAGGGAACCACAACTAATCTTTCATCAAGAGGCGAGCTTTGAGTCCTGGAATAGTTCTATCACACGAATGACTCTCAGAGCGCAACTCTCCAGACCCAAATTTTCATGTACCATAAAGACTTCTAGCTGGACGTGGTAGTGCTCGCCTGCAATCCCAGCACTTGGGAGGGTGAAGCAGGAGGATTGTTGCAAGTTCGAGACCAGCCTGGGCTACAAAGTGAGCTCAAGGCCAGCCTGAACTGCATAGCGAGACCCTGTCTCCAAAATGACAAAAAAAAAAAAAAAAAAAAAAAAAAAAAAAAAGAGTTCTAAATTTATTATTTCTAGACCAAAAGTCCAAGGAAATGCTCTTGAAAATGCATGCTCTAGTATTCATTGTAAAGCCGGACACTGATCTTAACCAGTTTACAGGATACGCACAGAAAGGAGACAAGCAACATTTCTGGCTTTGCATTCCTTCTATTCTTAATGAAGTCCAGTACTCACTCATAGAAGTCATGCCTTGAAATTTTCTCAATGTTGTTGATGAATGGCTATTCAAATATAAGTCCACCGGAATGGGTCTCTGGCTATCCACAAAGGGCAACTTAATGCTCAGGAAAGGACAAAATAACATAGCCCCAAAGTCATTTGCAAACTTGTTTCCTTGCTGGCTTTCTCCATCTTCTCAGAGATGTTCTTACAAGAAAGGACCCAGGAGTGGTGCACGCCTGTAACCCCAGCACTTGGGAGGTTAAGGCAAGAGGCTGGTGCGAGTTCACGGCCAGCCCGGGTTACACAGTGAGTTCAGGATCAACCTGAACTACATAGAGAAACCCTGTCTCAAAAAACAAAAACAGCAAACAAAGGACCTGGAAAATGTGTGTCCCTTTCCACACTTTTACATCTACCCCTGCACAGGTAAATGTACACTTCAGGTCTCTGTGGTAGTCTGTCTGTCTCATAGAAACCCTGTTTCTCCACATTGCAAAGAAACCAACAGAAATACTTCAGTTCACAGGGTTCCTGCTTATGAACCAAAACTAGACTTTTGAAATATGGATAAGAGATGAGCTGAAGCTTGTGGCAAATCCTCACCAGGTACTAGTATGCTGAGAACCACGAAGCTACATTCAGACAGGACACCAGCAGGGCCTGGCTATGTCCGTGCTAAGTGACTTCACCCTCCTAACACTGCAAGGTCCAACACAGAGCTCTGCCAGAGTAAGAACCTGCCTGCATGGATATTCAGTGTTCTTAAATAGCCAAAACACTGCTCAACATGTAAATACACAGAGGACGCTCAAATAGATCACAGTCAAGTGAACTGTAAAGGATCTACAGAGTTTCACTGAGGTCTGAGCTTAACTTCCTCGGGTAACACTAGACTGCCTGGTTCTAACCCAGTCTACCTCCACTCGACCCTCCTGCTTTTTTTGTCTTTCTTTCTTTCCTCTTAGTTTTATTGAGACTGGATTTCACTGTGTATCTTGGGCTGGCCTTCAACTCATGACCATCCTCTTGCCTCAGCCTCTCGATGGTGGGATTACAGGTGTGTGCCATCATGCCCACCTCACTCTCTCTGGTTAGTACCTGGTCAAATCCCCATGCCAGTGAACCCAGGACCCAAGAGCAGCTGAGCTCCTACCTTGGTGTTAGTGCACGCTTTTCCCTTCTTGTAGTCTTTGTGACTGCCCCGTTTGTCCAACTTGGCCCAGAGCGCTTTGGCCTTCCAGTAGTTGAGTTTGGACTTGAGCTTGTGGTAGAAGGAGCGATAGTCCTTGGGCTTCAGCTCCAGGTGGTCGCAGAGCTCTTGGAAGGCCTTGAGGGTCCCCTTGCAGGTGGTGGCCTGGACGAACCGGTCAAAGAGGACGTGAGCCTGGTTCACAGCCTCGTGCTTCCTCTCCTCCATGCTTCCCCGCTCTCAGCACCCCCGACACAGGGCGGTGGGCTGGCTGCTGATCCGCCCGACACTGTCACCTTGACCTGGCAAAAAGAAACAAAGGCTCAGCAGTGCTGTATCTACAGACATTTTCCAGGAGATTTTTCCAAAGCAGAGGGACGAGGCGGTAACACTAATCCATTCAACAGATGTACCCCAGAAGACACCAGGCCCCATCCAGGATGCCAGGGGTGGACATAGGAACAAGACAAGCCCAGCTTGCTGACCCCGAGAGTCCAGCGGGTCAGACTGACACATAATAAGCAGGACATCACAAGGTGCTATACCAAGTGCCACAAGACAGAGGTCCAGACAAGAAGCTACGTCACAGGGAGGCAGGTCCTCACTGGAGAGAAGAGACTGCAGAGGCCTTCGGGATACTACGTGTTAACCGGGCAGGAAGAAGTGCAGGCCATGAGCAGGAGAGTAACTGGCAGGCTTGTGAGGGACAGTGACACATCAAAGAGTCAAGAATGATTCCCAGCCTTCTGGGACATGGTGGCAGCAAGGCAATGGACTGAAAATAGAAGCACTCGGGTGTGAGGGTGGGGTGGTGAGTGCCCTTCTCGACCTGCGCGCCTGAGTTCCCTAGGCGGAGATGCTCATGAACAAGAGTAAGGGGAGGGGCTGAGGACATAGGCCGGTCTGAGCGCTGTTAGCATTATCAGTGGTGGTAGAACTTCTGAAAGCAGGCAAGGGCAAGCAGAGAGAGAAGCCCTGGGCAGAGAGGGCGAGATAGAGGAGCACAACCTGAAGGGGCCTAGCAGAAAGAGCGCCAGAAACAGAGACAGAGGTCTGAAGAAAAGCGAAGGGAAGCATGACAGGAGTCTGAGAAGCAGGAAGCGTAGATGAAAAGTCAGTAGGAATTTAAAGGATTCCAAAAGCCCTCCAGCTGCGTGGGGATGGTACATGCCTAGCATTCTGGGAGGCTGAGGCAGGAGGATGGCAAAGGGAAGGGGGAAGGGGTGGGGAAGAAAGGGGAGGGAGGGAGCCCTCTATGGCATGTTGCATACACAGGGGAGATGTTAGGGCCATCCATTTTGCCCATATTTGGGGCTCTGTTTGGGAGTAACAATGATGATGTCCACACCCTCGCCTTATCAGAAATATCCACACATCTGTGTCTTGTGTGCCTGCTCGCCTGGGATGGCACTCCCTGGGCCGCTCATCACCTCTGTACCACACTTTGCTATCACTATTAGAACTGCATTTTGGAGATAGCAGGCAAAGGGCCAAAGATCAAAACTAAGCCACAGGAAGAACAGAGTGCACCTCTGGCGTGGCAAACACGACTGGGCTGGAACTTTTCTTTGAAGGGAATTTATTCTTGGGCCCGAGGGGTGGTGGACGGAATTACTAACACACTGCGCTGGGGCAGTGCGAAAGCTGGATGGATGTAAGGTTAGGGGAGGCTCCAAGTTGCAGGGGGTGATGAAGCCAGTCTTCAGGACAGGCAGTAAGCTCCACACGATGTGGGCAAGACCCAGGATTCTGCCCTAAGACACGTACTTGGGGCAAATCCCTGTGTGCCAGAACCCGCTGTGGCGAGGCAGAAATAACCATTCCACATTATGGTACTAAGCGAGTATGCTCAATCACCTGCAGAAGTTTTAAGCCTCCTGATAGAAGCGTAACTACAGGAAGCACAGCCCTTTCACACGTCCAATGTCCAAGGCACAGGGCTCCTCCGGTACCGGGAGGATGAGTCAGACATAGGTTACTTCTTTACCTGAAACACACCGACTTGGCTTCTCACTTCAAAAATATTACTCACTGGCCAAGCCCTTTTGGCTCTGGATACTAGAAACTACTGTACGCTGCTAATGCACATGCTTGGCCCAAAACCCGTGTGGCCAAGAGTCCAGTAAGAAATGGAACCGGAGGGCTGGAAACGTGCCTCGATGGTAGAGCACTTACCCAGCATGTGTGAGGCCCCAGGTTCCGTATCCGGGGAGACAGAGATGGAGAGAATGGGGTGGGGCAAAGGGAGGAGTGGGGAGAGAAGACGGCTCTTGCAGGAGTGGAAAAAAACTAGATGTGTTTGGGCAAAGACAGGAAAAAGAGGACCAGGTAACAGCCCAGGACTGGAAACAAAGATCCCAGTCGGCATTTGCTACTTCAAGGCTCTCGGCCTTTTGCTTTCTGCGTGCAGATCTCAGCAGGTGTGATCGCGCACTGTGTGATCCGGACCTGCACTCCCTACCTGCGTCTACGACCGAGCCCAACCCCACCGGAGTCACGGTGAGCGCTCGGGCACACCGAACACACCTGGACCGGCTGACCTCGCGTCAAGGAAGAAAATGATTTTTCTTTGTTCCTAAGCGGCAGCCACCTCCTACTTCCTGCCAGGACCCAGAGTCCTGGGAACAGTGACACTCCTGCTGCACCAACCACATGAAAGATCCCATACCACATCTCTCTAAAAGCTTCTCCCCAGTCCAAACACCTGCCCCACGCTCCTGCCTTCCTCCTTCAAAGAACTCTTGGATATTTACTTCTAAAATACAGTTTCCCCGTGGGTTCTAACATCCCCGTGGTTGGCTGTAGCCCACTCTGAAACACTCACTTCCCAAGAGCTGCAAACTACTACCGAGAATTTCCAAATCAACTCCCACCACGGACAAACACCTTCATTAGTAACTACTTCAGCCTTTCTGTGGCTATGCAGCACCGCCAAACGGACAGATTTCAGCTCCAGCCCTTGGAGAGCGGCAGGCAAGTATTAGGTGCCCAGGTTAAGGATCGCAACCTGCAGAGCACTAATGAGAACAGATAAACAGCCAGGTCGGTTCCCGGCACAATGCGACAGGCACCCAGGGTAAGACTACACGAGGCCGAGTCCCCTGGGCTGCCTCACTTTTCCTCCTCTGCGAGCCAGATGACCACACAGGGAAGACAAGCTGAGTGCGCCCGGAGTTGCTCTGTGGCTCTGCCACAAGGCGCCTGGCTCCTGGGCGAGAGGACTTACCCAGCGCTCTGACTCTGAGAACAGCTGGGAGAGCGGCAGGAGGGCCCATGTCCCAGGCACAAAGCCGCGTCATCTCCCAGTCTCCTCTCCTGGCCTACCCCCGTCTACCATTCATCACAGTACCCCGGGAAAATCGACATTCACAATCATGGGAACAGAGACCAGGAAGCCTAGCTGTAAAGAGCCAGAAGTCTTCAGGATGGAAAATCCAAGGTGTGGGATAAAGGGCTCAGGGAAGAGGGGCCCAACGGAGGAGGAAGAGACGGTGAGGCCAGGTCTCCGGAGCATCTGCCGCCCCTGCCTGCAGACAGTCCCCTGCATGTTTTGTCTCGTGGCAGCTGACTGCTGACTCAGACGCTCCGCACATTCCTGGCTGTGAGGAAAGCGCTGGGAGACGGGCGGCCCAGGGAGCACGCGCAGAGCAGGGCTCATGCTTCTATTTACAGCAAGAGTAAAGGTTGTCCCTGACTCACGGCTGCTATGTGAACACTCAACCTCTAGCCTGTAGAATAAGTGAGTGGCTGTTTGAAGGGTTAGGAAGGTGAATTATCCTTAAAATAGAAAGAGAAATGAAAACAACACAGTAAGAATCAGACTTTAATAAGAGTACAGGACTGGGGCGATTCTAGCATATTTTTCTCCCCTGCGCCCGCGCCATTAGTAAACCAGCAGGTGTGAAACCCCTAGGTCTTAAAGAGGAACCTAGGGAACGCACTGCCCTGGTGCCCTGTGTGGACGCAGATCCTGGAAGAGATGCATGGGGATGCTTGTTCTGGAATGCTGCTAGGAGGAAACTTAGATGAAGTTCTGCCTCACAGATGGGGCCCCAAATCACGAAGTACCCTGAGTTCTTGAGCGCCCAGGCTGTTCCCATCTGTGGGTGAGGAACCCGGCGAGTGACTGAACGGATGGAAGGCTGTCTGAACGGAGCTCCTCATCACCTCTACCTCCGCTTCTCAGCTCTGTTATCGCCTACAACCCTGAGACAAGGTTCTCGGGTACCTAGGAAGCAGGTTCAAACACCACGAAAGCAATCTTCCTCGGGCGTTCCTTTTTCCCCACCTCAATTTTTTGTTTCATTGTGGTAAAATACACACATGATAAAATCCCTACCTTAGCTATTTGATTTGTTTGAGGTAGGGTCTTACTTTTTCACCTAGACTGGCCTTGAAATCCTGAACTCCAGTGATCCTCCCGTCTCGGCCTCCTGAGTAGCTGAGACTTGTCTTAAGAATACAGCAGTGCTACTGAAAACAGTTGTCATTGTGTGCAGCCATAGCCACCATCTCTTCTCTGCAACTTACAATTCATACCCATCAACAACAGCTTCCCCACCTCTCTCCTCTGGCTCTTGGCAACCACTGTTCTGTTTCTGCAATCTTTACTATAAGTATGTTATATAAATGAAATCATAAAGTTATTTGCCTTTTATGATTGGCTTATTCAACTTCACATAATGGCCTCAAGGTTTATCCACATTGCAGCATATTGCAGGATTTTCCTCCTCTTTTTTTTTTTTTTTTTTTACAGACAAGGTCTTGCTATGTAGTTCAGGCCTTGAACCTTGAACTCACGATGTAGCCCAGGCTGGCCTTGAACGCACGGCAATCCTCCTGCCTCAGCCTCCCAAGTGCTGGGTCTTCCTCTTTAAGGTTAAGTAATGTTCAGTTTCATGTATACATTACTTTTGCCTTTATTCACCTGCTGATGGGAGCTTAGTTTGCTTCTATACTTTGCTGTAGTAAATGCTGCTATGAACAATCTCTTGAGATTCTAGTTTCCATTTTTTTATATATACTATATACTCCAAATTGGGATTACTGGGTCATATAATAGCTCTAGTTTTAATTTTCTGAGGAAACCCACACTGTCTTCCACAGTGACTGTACCGTTTTTCATTTCTGCCAACAATATTAAGGTTTCCAATTTTTCCACAACCTCACCAGCATTTATTATTTTCTGTATTTTTTCTTCATATTATTTTTTAATAGCGGCCATCCTAATGGGTGGGATTTAATTGTTTTGATTGCATTCCCTTAACAATTAGCAATGTTCAGCATCTTTTCATTTACTCTT